ATCGTCTCATGGTAAAGCAACAGCAATTTTCCCCTGCCACATTGACGTTGCTACGACATCGTCCCGCCGTCTGTGTCATGACCCTCGGCTCAATTGTCCCATATCATGACACATGCGCATACTAACGTTACTGACATTCAGATTGACGAGTTTGGTGTCCAAAGACTTATGTTTTCATACCCTACATCTCTCTTCAGAGTTTAATAATACTCAACAAAGCCGTATACCACTGGCTTCATGTTCAATCTCACGGATCAGGTGAGGGAGTTACAGGATTAAGTTTGCGCTCTTGTTTCTCTCTCCATTTCCTTCCTCGTTTCTTGACCAACAGCAACATTGGTATGCCCAGTGTACTTATACCACTAAGCACAATGCAGGTCCATCCAGCTCCTAGCGCATCATACATTTGTTGACTGTTGTCAGTTGAAATCCATACTCTATGATAATTAGACACAGGTTGATCAGATGAGATACTTCCATCGATTGCGCGCGCTGAGATGTGGCTCAAGCCCTGGTTGTGGAATGGGAGGTAAGATGAGTGTGGGTGCCTGCCATATGCAGCTGACAAGAGTAGGAAGTATATGGAGACAGATGAAAATATTACTTACACAACGGCAGTGCCAATAGCACCCAAAATACAGCGAACGAGATTGAGCGAAGCGGACATGCCACCTGTCTTGTCGGGTAGAAGGTGCTGACCATAGACCGTAGCTTGGGGTAAGTGATATCCACGTCAGATCATTGAGAGAGATTCAAGTTGCACTAAGTCTTGACTCACCAACAAGCACGGCTCCGTTGCCTAAACCAAGAATGAAAGTGGTGATCAGCGGAATAGCAAGATTTAGACGTTTCTCAAGGAACCATCCTAGAGCGATGGGGACGAGGATGGTCGTTCTCTTTGTAAGCTTCTGCAATGTATGACCACATTTTCCAGCAACCGAGGACACCATATCTTCCAGGCTGTTCTCCATGTGGAAATCTTTCATTTCACATGGAGAATCTGGTGACCATGGCTGACATGATATAATCAGAACGATTAGGAGGAAACAAGAACCGTAAGTGACAATGGAACAATGATCACTCAGAAGTTGGAGAATAGAGAGAGAAATCACTGACGCTACAGAAGGCCACATGCAGTTCAGTCGAGCTGCCTCTATATCAAATGTATCAGGACGAGATTCGTAATCACCTCCAACACGTCTCATCTCAATGCTGAAACGATAGTCGAGTAAACGACCGGTGAAGAAAGAACATATTCCCGTGCCAAATCCTATTGGGCTGAAGGTGAGCAACAAGGATCTGTGAGAGGAATTGTGAACAACTACGGGACCAAGTCCTTTCACAGGTCAAGGAATCCAAAGCGTGAAGAAATTACATTGATTTAGGGGGAGGAGATTAGGTAGGGACAGAAAATAAAATTAGAAGGAGTTGATAACGAGCGATGTATGTTGTTCTAAGCTGAAGCGCGAGGAGGAAGATTGTAGCTCAGGGGATATGATGAGCAGAGGTGATCAAGCAGAAGGAGTAATCAAATTTCCTGTTGAAGGACGAGCTGAATCGAGGGGGAAAGGTGACAGATCCAAAAAAACTCACAGATAGCATATTCCTATCTTGATGGGAGAAAGACCATATGGGTCTTTCAAAACTGTTGAGAGTACAGTTCTTTCGTCCATCAGCTATCCTTCCAAATACGCTATCTCCATAAGCACATTATCCTGCTAGACAAGTTGTGATGATATCGACCCCACAAGCCTTATGCATTCCGTGCGACCGTAGTCTTTGAATGGAAACGGTTTGAGAAATGTTGAGTCGTTGATCTTTTTGGTCGTCCGTCACCACGTACGCAAAATGGGGAGTAGAGTGGTTAGAAGGAGAGATCGGTAACCGTACAGTATCAATTAAGCTCACAAAATAGTATAATACTCTACAAACATGAGAGATGCGACGAGGAAAGTGACACTGATTTCGGGTACGACTAGAATCAGGAATGTTGAGAAAGGTCGGAACTGAGTGGTCAGTATTGCATCCCTCGATGACACAGGACAGACGATACACGCTGGTCTGGAACTAGGAAGGAGTGAACAAGAGTCGAGCTATCTGAGAATACATTCGTGATGATGACCGGACGATTTGGACTGAGAATTGGAATGCAGAAAAGCTCACCCTCATACGTGGAAGATCTACCGGTCTCGGAACTCTGTTCTTTGGACCGAGATCGATAGGAGGCTTGGTATATGTCGGAGGGAGGTAGGATCCGTTCCCTACTAAAGTCCTCAATGTTTCCGGAAGGAAACTACAGGTTCAGTTGGTATCTTTGATGACTATTCACAAAGATATTGAGGAGGCGAAGTTGTACAGGGTATGATCACATTATCATGCAGATCATGGTCGTGTTAGATATTGGCAGAGTGATAACATAGTATTGACGAGCTCCAAGTTGAGGAGGTCTAGAGGAGGTTGATGGGAAGTTTGAAGGAGGTTTGGAGATTGAATAAACGGGTGAACAACCCACAGAATGAGAGGAACCAATATCACTCCCGCCGTTATTGTCAGAAACCAAAACATAGCTCTCCAACCTAAAGTGGAAGCGAAGATTCCTCCCAATAACGGACCCAGAGCAGGACCCAGCATGGCTCCTATCATGAAGAAAGACAAGAACTTTCCTCTTTCTTCCGGAGCTGCAATATCCGCCACACAACCATATCCTATAGTTATAACTGCTGAACCACCAGTCGCTTGTAGTGCTCTTAAGAGTAGCAACAACCAATAAGAGTTTGTTGGACATAATGCAAGACCAATGTTGGAGCCAAGATATAGACCAAGGGTGGAGATGTAAATCGGACGACGACCGTATGTGTCTGACATTGCGCCGAACAGACTAGGAGTGACAGCTTGGAAAATGAGAAAAACGGTGACTGTGAGTGTTATGTTGGCTTCTGATGTGCTGAAGGCTGTTGAAAGAGTGGGAATAGCGGGGACGAACATGTTTCCGCTGATAGGAGATATGAGACCTGAAGGTAAGAGACCCATTGCGTGTTCCGTGCTACCTACTGAGAAGGTGACTTTGTTGATCATGAAGGTCCACTGAGTATGAGATTCGAGACGAGCTTGGATGTAGCCGATGGGAGTGGGGGAGAGAAGAAGATTCCATCTAGAAGGAGAAGGAATCGATTCGGTCCAGGAATTGAAGAAGGGAAAAAGAGGGAGTGGTACGCGAAGAGAAAGAAAGACATACCCGCCGCCCCGCTCAATACTACAATAAGCCATTTTATCCCTGGTGAAAAGATAGAATAAACGATTTCTTCTCCTTCTTCCGTTGAAACCAAGTTGACGGTGTTCAAATCCTTGAGCTCGATATCCGACTTGGTCACCGTATCTCGCTGGATGTCGGAGATGACATCTTGGGGATCCTCCTGTGCCGTTTCATTTTCACGAAAGATGACATCGTTGGGGCTCACGACAGGAGGACAAGCCATGCAAAAGTAGATTTGGATACCTCTTTCAAGAGGTCTGAAAGGAATACTGAGAAGTTGGGGAGAATATGGACTTCCCTTCTTGGCTTGAACATAAAATAGACACTCGTACAAAATTAGGCACTTTCTTCGGTCTGATCCGATCACACCGCACGGCGCCGGTCGGTCCGGAATTTAGGTCTTGTGACTTCCGGTCAAGTGGTTCATACTTCATTCACATGTGAAAATGTCTACTCTATCTTTCTACATGTCCGATTTACGACTTGATCTTAGAATCCTCCATAAACTACCATGTACGCACTCCTGTTCAATCTTCACAAGCATGTAGTGGGGACGTCTAACTTCTGACCACCTCCTCGATCATCTTCATCCCCAGTACAACTTTCTCGTCCTGCCACCTCGGCGCCGCGACTTGCAACGATAAAGGCGCGTTTAGAAATACTTCTGGGGAATCTGACATGGTCATTATCCTGATTTCTCCTATCCAGTATCTCAATACCCAACTTCTTGGTGCCCACAAGGATCTAAATGCTGTGGTGGACATGGAACACAAACGACTCACAAGCCTCCCAGACTTCTTTATCTTGTCTACATGTGAGTTTATATCGGTTGTCAGCTTTATCATCGAGTGTAACATGTAATCCCGTGGGAAACACTGCAGCGGGATAATCAACCAGATTGAAGAAGGAGGTGTAGGACCAATAACGAGATGTGCCGCATAAAGGAGCAGGACCTGGAGAAGGAGGACAGAGGATGAGGTCGATGTTAGAGGAGACAAAGTGGGCTGCGTAGGCTTCTCGAAAGGCGTCGCGTTGGACGGTCAACTATTGGATATCAGCGGGGATTTCATCGTGGATTGCCGACCATACACAACAGAACACGATCGGATAAAGTGCCTTTTCCGTCGTGATATGGGCATTGGAGGAAACCGAACGATCAAGATAAAAGGGACTCACTTCCATGAGTTCCGAGATTGTTAGTGATTTCGATTGATTGACCAGCCATTCGGTGAGAGGATGGATCGTCTCATTTGCTGATTGTAGGACATCTTGAAGTCGTTCTCCTCCGTCTATGTGGTATAACTTGGTCTGCTCTGTAAGACCCGACTTGTCCCGCCCTCAATTCTCTTTTCCCCAACCCTTCCGTCACGGTGCAGGCCGTCCAGAGAAACAACCGGACTTGATACAGAACCGGCAGAAGTGGGATGGAATAGGTTGGATATGGTTTCACTTGACTCACAATTAGTTCCCATCCTTCTGCTTGTCTGAATGGCTCATAATTCACCACCCTGAAACCAGCCTTTTCAAGCTTCTCCACCGCATATGCTAAAGTGTTACTCATCGGCGGCTGAGGCCTTACAACCCCGTCATCCCACATGACACCTATGATGGGTTTACTACCACCTTTCCAAACCACCTCCTCAGGTCTCCAAGGCATAGCCACGGTTGTCATATCATATTCCCAAGTCTTGGCGTCCAAGATTACTCGAACAAACAGATCAACGTCTCGTGAGGATGAGGCAAGGGGTCCGATACTAGCCGGAATGGTTTCTTGACCAGCCATGAGATCCTTAGAAATCAATACCTTATACCCTTCAACCAGTTGAGCCACTGGTACCTGGAAATAGAGGATAGGAACTGTGGGATACAGGAAGTATCGAAGACGACTCACTCTACCACCTGTCATGGGTAATCGGAAGGATGTTGGTTTGAATCCAAATAAACCGTTATTGGCCGCAGGACTACGAATGCTACCGCCTACATCTGTTCCTATCCTTCTATTCAGCATCTTCACTCCCGATGAGAAGACATTTAGAACAAGAGGCACGACAGCTGGACGGGGAAGAACATTGGAAAGTATAGGAGGGATGCAAAACAAGAACCAACCCCAGGACTGATCCCTTGGCACAAATCAGTGCACCTTCACCGCCGCTGCTACCTCCAGCGGTGAGACGGGTATTATATGGGTTGACACATGGTCCAAGGAAACTGTCCGTTTCCAATTGCATGACAGCTTGCGGGACGATCGTTTTGACGTAGAAGACTAGACTTGATCAGCTTCCTCGCAAACGGGTGACTAATTTAGCAGTTAGGTGATTTGACTTACCAGCTCCTGCTGCTCTAAGAACACTGACCAAAGTTCCGTCTTCTCCTGCTTCTGAATTCTCTGTCCACGCCGCAAATCCCGAACATCCTCTGTGTCCCCGAAGAGGCACCGTATCTACTTATCAGCTCACTAAATCTTAACCTCAGGGAAATCATTTCATCTCGTTGAATATAAGAGACTAACCTTTAACAGAGACAGGTACTCCGTGCAATGGACCCACGGGTTTACCTGTTCGTTCCATCTCTGCATCTAACCATTTTGCCCTTTCCAGTCCTTCCTGGAAGAAGTACGCTGTCAAACAGTTTGTAGTCTGATGAGCTATAGCAGCAGACTTCCCAAAAGCCGTAATAACCTCGACGGCTGACAATTGACGAGCCGCGATGAGATCCCTCAAACCGAGGGCGTCATATTGTACAATCTTGATTTCTTCCTGGGTAAGAATACCGCACGTCAGAGCGTAGTTGGAAACATTGAGAGGGAGATCCGAAGTATCGATCTTCCAGGCGACTGGAATAGCATCTGATATGGCGGTGTGAATCTTGATTTTGGCTGAAGTAGGAGTTGACATTGGGCTTCGTATCAGTTCCGACTTTATTAGAACTGTGAGGTTACTACAGATAGATACAAAGAGGTAAGTATTTACTCTTTTTATGGATATCTTGTCCTGCTACTCTTGACTCATGGCATCACTATCGCTGCGGACGCCCAAAGGACACGGAGATCAACGAAGATTGGTAATACAGGCACTACCGACCGCATGATAGTTGGAAAAAAGGGATCACACCCTGCTCTATGAATAGAGACGCAAAGTGTTCTGGGAATCCATAGGTAGAGTGACCGGATTTCAAGGTTGATTCGGTGTGATACTGCGGAGAAAGTCCCTTTTCGTGGACGTTCACACGGATACCTCGATCATTTGGACGAATGGATGAAACCCAGTTGTTACGTCGTTTCGAGTGAGGTTCGGGAGAATGCTGTGCTGCGGTCATGTGAACGATGGGCAGTGTAGGAGCATAAAAAGCGCTCTTTTCAAGAGGGTGTGAGAGACTCGTACATTTTACTGCGGTATCATGTCAGACCCGTCGCCCTGCAGTCTTAGTAGACGACCTTAGGGCGGAGATAACGAAACAATCCCAACTCACATGCCCTAGTGGGGTTATCTACCGGCATGGCCACTATCTGAGATAGACATCTGATGGCAAGACTCAATCCTGAGCTGCGGTTCGATCCGAAAGGCCTGAACCGCATCAAAACCCGCTAAGTATCCCATTGAGGGGGGACCCCTGAAGGAATACTGATCTGCGAAAATCAGTCAGCATCCAAAAGGGGAACGTTCCATCGTGGACGTCTTCTGAACGCAAGCAATGAAAGGATTCCCTGTTCCCTGTCAGCTCCGGCAACGGACCGCACCGTCGGACAAACTAGTCCACGGGTATAATAGAATAGTGGTACAAAAGCTGGGACTTTCCTCCAGGGAATATTGAACGTCGAGCCCAGGACACGTTCAACGAGTGGAAACATCTCCCACCTATCAGAGCCTCGACAGTGATGACAGATGCAGCCTGACGAGTTGAACTCAACATTGGGAATGGCTCAAAAGATGTATAGAGCTTCAGCAATTTGATGGGAATGACTCACACGCTGGTTATTGAAAACATGCTCGGCGAACCTCAACGCAGCTTACCTTTCCGTGCGCCACCCTCGATGTGGTCTTCTCGTCCACTCCACCCTCTCGGGGTCCCACGCTAAAGGCTGTGGAGCTACAAAGTATGATTGACCCGTATATGAGCTAAGGATGCTCCACAACAGTTCCCCCATCTACACATAAAGGTAGGAATTCTTTTTTTCCATCCCCATGTAAGGAAGGCCACGACTCACGCTTGTTCAAACTTCGCGAGTTCTGGGACCCACGTACATAACGTAGTTGGCCACCAACGGATTGTCTTTTCTTTCCTTGACATCCTAGAGATCATTATAAGACCAACCTGAACTATAACAGACACATTTTCCGGGCTTGCCCATTCATGTTGACATTGTAAACCCAATCACCTGAATCAGCGGAGTGGTACAAAGTAACCCAAGACGCGAAGCTTCACTGCCACTTCTTCGTGCGTCTTACAATGAACTCTACCCAGCCGCAAGATTGGGGCGGTTCTAGTCAAGGCAATCGTGATCCTTCTCGCCCGACCAGAACACCCGAGGATGAGTTGAGCCGGGTACGAAATAGAATGTTACATTTCATCTCCGAAGGGAACACATCACCTCTGAAATCCTTTCCATAGCCAAAAATATGGCAACTCACACGAGGGCGGGCTATGATGAAGAAATGAACTCTCTGTACCCCTTGCTCAGTCAACAAATGGACCAATCACTTTCCAATTGGGGTAGATTGAATAGTCACTACATGACCCTTCAACAGAGATACAAGAAGATGGGCACAATATTAGGTAAACTGGAGGAGCAAACACCAGTGGTGTCAGCAACTTTTGATGAATTCTTGTTCTTTGTTACCGGTTCTGATACCTTCAAGGGTAAAGCACCTGCATACCATATATCAAGCTTGGCCATGACTGACATCAGAGCTCTCAGAGAAATGGCAGACTGGCATTTGCAATCCATCCAAAATCTGATGAATATTGCAATTGGAGGCATCGAGGCTCTGAAGCCTTACACTGAAGACACAGCACGGCAAGACCATATAAGTGAATTGTGGACAGGATGGGAGACAGCAGTGTACTGGTTTAAGGAGGATCTTGGCTTACAACTCCCCCCATGATCCATGCTACTCCAATGGTGTAAGTTTCTATCACATAATATGAACAGGTGATTGTCACGGGGTAACAACGAATCGAGGAAAGTCCATCCAGTTTGATGGAGCAGGACAGAGAAGATCAAGAAAGGGAGGCAGTGCTGCACTTAGGTAGGGACAGCTTTTCCCCTTTCCAGATTTCCCCACTGGGTTTGCTCAAAGGGTTTTTCACATGTCCGAGTATGTACATAGACGCTTGCAGTAGGAGGAACAAGGATGCGGAGACTGGTAGATAGTATATAGTACAATCAGCAAAGTACCAACTTTGCTGATTCTTCAATATCATTCTTTGGCTACATCAATTGCAGAGGAGACACAATCCATCAAATAGCACCAGAGACACATAGATTTCCACGAGACTTCCATCGAGTTTGACCCAACCTGCCACTTAGTCGTTGTGTTTCATAAACAACTTCGTGCTTTACTAACTTCTATCACTAAGACAACAACCAGAGATTGTTGAAGATCTCTGGGAGCTTTGGCCCTTAAGTACTTCGTTCCTCCCTAACTTTGGCAACACAGAACTTCGTTCAACCCTAAGCCCCGAGCTTTGTACCTTGCAAACTTTATCCCCAAGAAAGCTCGTGCCTCCCTAACTTTATATCTCCTCAGCTTCATATCTCCCTAACTTTGTATCCTCCTGACTTCCTGCATGACTATGTGTCACGACCCTGCAACCTCAGTCGTGACATCGGGTTATAACCGGATTGCAATCATAGGGCCGATTGTGATATTGTGCCTTTTAGCGCAGTGGCATAAGATGTCACATCCATGGCCAGTGTATGGCCTGGTGCTGGTTAACCAGGTTGTAACACTATGTCACAAGGACCAACTAACCAGCATTGGCTTGATATAACAGTGCCCAACGGAACAGTGATGTTAACCACTGCGACGAAAAGGCCTATTAATCGGCGGTTAAACCTACCGCCGGTTGCTGGTTCAATACCCTTCCCTGACTTTTGCTCGACTTGTCACAGGCTTTGTAACAAGAAATTTACGGCAAGGTTGGTCTATGACTGGCGGGAGTAGCCCGTAGTGCTGGTACAAAGGTCAACAGAAGATGTATCGAGTAGGAAGGAGGTAATAAATATAGATCAAGTATAAGAGTGTATAGTAGTTGGAACTATATACAAAGGAAGGTGGGACTTTGGAGTGAAGACCCAAAGTCAGGCTTGATGAAAGATGGAGTGCCACCCATAGGATGATCTTGCACTGTCTATGGTCAAAGATGACTTTGGGGAGAGCAGAGAGGTAATGGGGAAAAGTGAGGTGTTTTGAGATGGTTTTCATCGTTAAAGTAGAAATCCATTCCGCCACTTTATATACCTTTCAGAATCACACGTTTTCACACTGATTCCCACAATCCACAATGTGGCGTGTGGAGTCACATGACTTGTTGTGATGAGGTGTTATGACCTGGTCATAACACTGTAATGATCCTGCTTGTGAGGATCACCACAAATAAATAAATGTAACCTACCCGTAGGGCTGGATACTGTCGGAACTCTGTGATGTGGATAATACTAGTCAACAATGGATCAAAGGTCAGTAATGGTCAGTAAAGAGTGTATCAAGGAAACTAAAGAGGGTCTGAGAGAGGATGGAGGAAAAAGGAGGAGAAGAAGGAGGGTGTCACGCCTGCGGGTAGACTGCGGTAGCAAAGGACTGCCTTGGGAACTGAGGGGTTTAGTCTCTGGCTCGTGGACCTTGGTGACTGCCTTGGATACTGAGGGTTCGAGAGGTTGGGTTAGAACCAACTGAGTGACTTATCAAACGAGGGGAAGGGAATTGAAAAAATACATTGCTGAAGAAGAAAACTACAGCACTAGATAGGGTTTAAATACTAAAATCAGCCTTTTCCAAGAGGCTCATGCAGACCTGCGGAATACGAGCGCTCTGAACCGTCCTGCACTGTCCTGCATGCATTGCCATGCATCCCACCGTGTCATAAATCTCGAATCTCGGTCACAGCACAAGCAGTTTATAAAGGGTCTCAGCTCATACTATGGACTGAGCATTGGATCTTTTAGCACAAGAGCTTAGTGCGCGTCACCCTTTAGGCGTATGCATTACAGACCGGTTACCACTGATATCCTACGATGCCATATCTGCGTTTACCTATGTCCTACTATAATATCCTACGTGATGCGCTGGAAGTCGGTGACTTTGTCGAAGGTGGTCAATGAGGAACTATGAGGAACTTTGCAGAACATAGAGAAGCTGCGAGAACAAGAGACTGAGAGATTATGCCTTACAAGGCATCAGAACAGAGGAGAGAGACCTAGAGAAGTACTTGGGGCTTATGCCTGTCAGGCATTAGAGCACAGGAAAGATAGTCTTGGGGTTAATGCCTTATAGGCTTGAGAGCAGAGGAAAGGTAGACTTGGAGTTTATTCCCAATAGGCTTGAGAGCAGAGGAAGATATGAGAGTGGAGGTTTGTCACGGCCGTCGAACAACTACTTCTTAATAGACCGACGGTCGACGAACCTCGGCTAACTTCACGCTCTGAGTCGATGTCTCACCCAACCAGGAGGGCGCAGACGTCGAAAGGGGTGTAACTACGGCGTACTTCGGCGTAGTTACTCTAACTAGGGTTTTGATCTACTGATGGCGATGTATCTTGATTTATAGCTATCTCTATCTGTCTTTTACTACTGACAACAATCAAGGATCGCTGAAGAACTTCAGCGATCTTCTCAGCTAATATTATCTACTCCTCCTAGACGTTCATCCAACCCTCTCGCGCTTTGACGTACTTCAACGCACTTCGTCCAACTTCCCCGAGCCCTCGGCCATCCTCTTCCTCCTTCGACTAACTCCGCCTAACATCGCCGCACTTCTGCTCCCATTGTCCCTACTTAGCCTAACTCCGCCTAACATCGCCGCACTTCTGCTCCCATTGTCCCTACTTAGCCTAACCCCGCCTAACATCGCCGTACCCCCCCTCCCATTGTCCCTACTTAGCCTCACCCCGTCTAACTTCGCCGTACTTGGTGTCAGAAGTCCTGAGTTACGTGTAGAGTAAAGAGGTTAAGGCGTGATGGGGTTTTGATGGCCAAAGGAGGGTCATTGTTGGTGGAGTAATCGAGGTGTCACGACGTAGTTCGTGACAGTCGCCCCCTTCTTTAGCCGCGAACGTCCTCGTGAGCGATTACACCTCTGTCGTGGCAAGAGAACTTAGCAGCGTAGTACCCCATTCTCTCCCTCCCCATGACCATCCTCCACTCTTCTGCTCTTTGCGCCGCACTTCGTAGTTGGGCCTCCTT